GGAGTTTAAGATGTAATGTTATTTAATAAGAAGCCTAAGCTAATAGGCCATGCAGTGTTGTAATTAATATAGTTTCTGTGTGATTATTTTAGGTCTGGGCGGCCAGGAACAAAGGAGCAGAGTCTCCACCTACAATCATTGAGTATTTCTTTCGATATCTTTCTCATCACTTTCTTCTAGTTAAGAATTTTAGAATAAGCATATATAAAGCCAATACCGTGTAGTGAAAATTTCTTAGTCACTTAATCTTTGCTCACCTTTGTATGTAATGTAATTTTAAAATTCGTGTTTCATAATACATTAACAAATACAATTATAAGATTTAATAAGTTGCTTCCCATTTACCGTTCCAAATTCTTTATTATAATACATATCAAAATAATATGTTGCTTTCAAGCCTGTGTTCACCCTCCAAAAACTATATAATGGCTATATAATGGTCCTCAAAGATAATTTCACATCTTAACTCACAGAACTGGTGAATATAACTTTATGTTACAAAGGATTCTTGCGAATATGGTTAAGTATCTTGAGGTGAAAGATATTTTACTATACAATCTAAATAGGCTATAAATGTAATCACAGATGTTCTTATAAGAAAGTGTTAGAAAGAGATTCATCACACACAGCAAAAAGAAAACCACGTGGACATGAAGGTAGACATTGAATTGCTGTGACTACAAGCCAAGAAAGGTCAATGTCCATGGAAAATTGAAATAAAAAAGAAAGTGGACTTTTCTTGAGAACCTGTGGAGGAAGAATTACCCTTCTCGGTTCTTTTTTTCCCACAGTAAAATTTGTTTTCAACTACCGACCTCCAGAAATGAACAAATCAATGTGAACTGCTCAAAACCCTCAAGTTGGTGAGATTCATTACAACCATCTCAGAAAACTAACAGACAAATTGGTTACCAAGATACTTTTGGAATCTCAGTGATTAGATTGAAATGAATATAAAATGAAAATTTTCATTTTGTTTTTTGCTTGTCTTTTTGTTTTAGTACACAGATGATGGGAAGCTGGATTTTTGAAGAGTTTCATTTGCTGACAGGTTTAGAGGCTGAAAGATCAAGAGTCAGTGGCACCACATATTCAATCACAGATTAATATAACACATATTCAATAACACAAATTAATTGTGTTAATTTGTCCTGATGCTGAGATAAAACACAGAGAGAGAAAAAAGAGAAACTTGAGGGAGGAAAAGGCTTTTTTCTTCCTTCCAGATTACAATGATAAAGGAAACCAAGACATCAGCAACTCAAAGCAGTAACCTGATGGTAGGAACTGAAACAGAGACCATGGAGGGATGCTGTTTACTGGCTTGCTTGCTTCAGATTCCTGTTCAGCTACCTTTCTTATCTATATAAGACAAGGCCCATTTGCCTAGGGATGGTTACAGAGGTTCATTGATTTGCTCCTCATGGCTTATCCAGCCTGCTCTCTGTCTTTCTTCCTTCCTTCCTTCCCTCCTTCCTTCCTTCCTTCCGTCTTTCCTTCCTTCTCTCTCTCTCTCTCTCTCTCTCTCTCTCTCTCTCTCTCTCCTTCTTTCTTTTCTTTTCTTTCATTTTTTTTCCAACACAGGTTTTCTCTGTGTAACAGTGCTAGCTGTCTTAAAACTAGCTCTGTAGACCAGGATGGTCTGGAACTCGCAGAGATCCACCTGCCTCTGCCTCTGCCTCTCTGCCTCTCTGCCTCTCTCTCTGCCTCTCTGCCTCTCTGCCTCTCTGCCTCTCTGCCTCTCTGCCTCTCTGCCTCTCTGCCTCT